AGCTCAGGCATGTGCCCTGACTGGGAATGGAACGGATGTCTTTTCGGTTTTTGGGAAGACACCCAGCCCACTGAGCCGCACCAGTCACGGTCTCCTTTAACTTCTCAAAGCCCTTTGTTCTCCAGACTGTCCTGTCACTTCACCGGCCTCATCATCCTTCTACAGCACCGGCTGGCCCGCGTCTGTGTCCTTTGCCAGCCCCTCATTCTCTCCGTGTTGGAGGACCCCAGGGTCTGCCGTGTCTTCTCTCCTTTTGTTACATTTTCTCCCTAGGTGATCTGATGTAAGTGATGTGATGTTTAAATTGATCTGATGGCTCTCAAACTTTTATCATCCAATCTGAGTTCCCTGGTCAAATTCACTTGGATTTTGAAAAGATATCTCGAAAGAGTAAGGGGGCGAAGTCATTTTTTGACTCAAGCTCCACTAACCCCTTCTCTTCCTGATCTTCCTCACCTGTGTAAATGACAGCAGCATCTACTTAGCAGCTCAAGATAAAAGCATGTGGGATCATCCTTGATTTCTCTTTCCCTTACATTCCATACCCAATCTATCAATAAGCCCTGTTGGCTCTGTCTCCAAGACATGTCCCCAATGCAACCTCTTGTCACCATTTCCAGTGCTGTGTCCCTAGACCAAGCCCCAGCCGCCTTGCTCTGGGACTGCTGCAACGTCTCCCTAACCAGCGTCCCTCGCGCCCCAGCCGCAGCCCCCTCTTGCCCACCCTCCATGCAGCAGCCTTCTGAAGCATAAATCAGACTCTGTCTCGGGTCCCTGCTTAAAACCTGTCAGTGACTCTTTCACTGAAGCTGCAAATACATAAAACTACACCATTTACTGAAGCTATGAGGCTTCTGCCTATGCCCCCGACCATGACCCCTTCTACTCTCCCTGGATCCCTTGCATGAGCCCCAGGGACCCCTCCAAGTTTTTCCTCTCTCATGGCCTTTCCAAGTAGAGCTTCTTCCACTTGGAAGCTCTTCTCCCAGATCTTTAGCACCTATCAGTGCCTGAGATTACCCTTTTCAGGTATTTGTTTTATATGTGTTGCATGTCCCCAGCAACCCCGCACTCCCTGAACAGAGAAGAATACGTGCTCTTGTCTCTGCTGTTCACAGCTGTGTGCCCAGAGCCAGGGTCAGGGCCTGGCATAGGCGAAGCTCAGTATCACTTGCTGACTGACTCAACTGTGAGGACTCTAGCTGGGACTGTTAGAGCTCAGAGAGAAACAGTCCAACCTCATGGTTTCACACACGGGCAAACAGAGGCCCAGATACGGCCACTTGCCCAGTGGCCCCAATGCAGACTTATGCAAGCCAAGTTGGTCATGCATAAACTTTTCCATAAACAGTAGTAGCCACTAAAAGGGTTACTTATTTCTACCTACAAGCTCCCTGCCAGGTTATCGTGGAAACAGATCTCAGAACAAATTCTGTCGTCCATACAAATATTTATAAAACAAACATTTATTTATAAAGTAGCCACAAAACCTGTTCTGTAAAGTCTGTTCTGTAGAGTCAGTGAAGGCCCAGCTCTCTGTCCTTTTAGGTGCTTGACCACCTTGCATGGAAGGTACACTCAAGGAAGGTGCAACATTTGAGGCAGGATTCAGCTAGACTGATGGTCCCATCAGGCAACCAGAATAACCTAAACATGGGACCCCTTGTTGTGGGGAGCGACACTTTGTGGGGAGCACCATGGTGGGGTGTGGGGCTCCTGGATCTGAGGGTCACTGTTCAGAGCCAGCTGAGGAGGGAGCAGGGCTCTGAATCCCGCAGAGCCCGTCCTGGGGTTGTCATGGTGGGGGGAATAAACACAAGTCTTTGCAAACACTTCTCTGTTTGCCAGGAGAGGAGTTCTCCCTAGGAAAGAGAAGGCCCCAAACCCCCATGTCCAAAGGCTTTTATTGAGAACCATATGCACAGGGGTTTGGATGTAAAGCTCATCAATCAATGTCAAAAGGCAATGTTTACAGAAAACAGGCAGAGACAATTGAAGGATCATAGGAGATCTGCCTCAGGTCAGGGTCTATGAATAATGTAAATCTCCTTCCCAGTCTGAGCCGGTTATCATAGCTTTTGAGGAAAGAACAAAGCATGCTTAGAGGAACTTTCTTCTAGGCCTGGTTGTCCCTGGGAACCACCGGATCCAGTTTAGGGCCTTTAGTATTGTTTTAGGCCTGAGCCAGGCAGGTGGGGCAGAGCCACCAAGAGATAAGGAGACTTCTCTCAGATAGAATGAGGACTCTGGCTACCTGGAAGCTGAGCCAAGGGGTGCGGGCCTTTTTGCCCTTTCTCCTTGTCCGCCAAGTCCTTGTCTGCTGCTCATACTGGCCAATGTCTGGCTTAGGTTGTCCCTCCTCATGAGAGAACTTACCTGTCATCAACAAGCGACCATCACAGGGTCAATCAGGGGGATACAAAGGGGCAGGTTTCATCTTCTTAGTGGCTTATTTTCCCAAGGCCTCCTTGATTTGTTTCCAGCCTTGGGGCCCTCTCGCCTGTTGGGGAGGCTACAGTCCCTGAAACCAGGTGGGGTGTTTCCCAACAACCCCTCAAGGATTCAGCCTGGTGCTGAATCCCTAAGGAAGGTTCTTTTACTTTGAACAAGGAATGGATGGTGATCCCAAACCATTTTAGACAATCTACATATCTTGAATACTACTAATTTCACCAGAGGAGAGCTCATTTCTAATTCCTGCCATGCTAATTAATGAGCCGTGAATTCCACTGATACATTCATTATGGCATTCTCTGTGCTAACCAGTAAAGCTTGGGGGTGGGTGGATTGAGACATGGAGAGACTCAGAGGCTGCTGTGCTGATTGCGTCTGATTGTGTATTTTCTCTAACTCCCAGGGTCATTGACTTCTATTTGGTAATTTGATATCAGATATGGTAGAAGTATTTACACTATGGAAAATGGTGACAGGGTCCTCCGCCACGGAAATAGTTATTAAACCTTTATCAGCATACTACCAGAGAGGCTGAAGGACCTTGCTGAGGGCCTTTCTGATAAAATGCTGGCTGACCACCTCACCCTCATGACCACTTCTACCCCAGGGATGCTCAGTCCTGGCTGCACTTCAGAAAGTACCTGACCTTTACAGGGCTACTGATTCCCAGGCCCCAGTAGGTGGGGATTCTAGGTTGGAGTGGGGCTTGGCTATCAGGACTGATATCAGGACACAGTTAAAGCTCACCAGGTGGTTCTAATCTGCAGCCAGGGTCACACTCACACCTGTATGTAACACTATCTATGCCACATAATTTAACAGTTTCACAGAAAGTTCATGGCAAAACCAGGATTGACACTAGACCTGCTGACCCGTAGCTCAGAGCTCCTGGAAAAAGAAAAGTTGAAACTAGGTTGCCACTTCTGAGGTCTACAAGTGTTTACAAAAATGGGCGGGGGCAGCTCTCAGCACTTGGAGTTCAGGTTGGGGGTGAGGAGGGACCATGAAGGAGCTTAGGAGCCCAGGCAAGGCTGTGACATCCCCAAAGAGCCCCAGGGTCCCTCTGCAGGGGTGTCTCCGCTTCATTTCCCAGGGCATCTTACAGGGGCTCACATGTGTGTGTGCAGGCGGGGAGGCTAACCCAGGGACAGGGAGACTGATTAGTCCCTCAGAGGACAAGGTGCTGAGCTAGCCGTCCAGGGGATGGACGCCAGCACCTCAAAGAGTGGGTTAGGAATAGCCCTGCAGAGCTGGGTGAGGGAAGCTAGTCCACCAAAGAACAATAAGGAATTAGTTTCCTCCTCCTCAAGGTACAGAAAGGACAACTATTAATTCTCTGGTAAGATGTTGTCTTGGACCTTGGTTATTCATCTGAAGGTAACCTGAGCAGTGCCTGGTTCCTTGTCTCTACCCAAAGTAAACATCCTTGCAGGGCCTGCTCCTTCTGTACCAAGGAACTTGGCTTCCCTTTAACCCTTCAGGGCAGAACATTGTTCCCTCCCCACCCCCAATCTTACTTTCTCCCTTCTAGGGCAGAGCCCTGGTGTTGGGCTGGCTAGTGTCTGTCTCTTCTTGGGAGTCTGTATACAGGAGGTTTGGGAGTCTTGTCTTGTCCAGGACAAGGGACCCGGACGAGAGTGCCATTCCTGCAGTCACCACCAGGGACCCCACCCGGTACTGCCTTGAGCTCATGACCTCTGGGCAACACATGTAATTATCAAAGCCACAAACAAAGGCTGACTCCCAAGCCCCAGGCTGACGTTGCCTGGGAAGCCAGGAGAGCTGTCAAGCTGGGGCCATCTAGCTGCAGGAGACAACTCACAGCCAGGTCTGGCATCAGGGAGAAGAGAGGCCTGGGGGGAGGAGGCCGGGTCAGACCTGGGCTGAGTGTGTGCAAGGAAGGGGACGCTAAGCTGGCCTGAGATGGGCGTGGAGGTGGGCTTCCCAGAGAAGAAAGCCTCTAAGAGCAGGGCTGGGATTTCACCTGGCCACTGAGAAACGGATACCTGGAAACTGGTTGGGTAAACGGGGTCTGTTACAAAAGGAACCTTGGGACCCCAGCTCTACGGGGGGGCCCCCTGAGCCCCACCCTGGTCTGCTGCACTGCACCTTCCTAGATGAGCGCTCCACCCTCCTCAGGCTGAGCTACTGCACTTCCTTATTTCTGTTCACATCGTGCACATTTTAGCACCTTAGTGGTTAGGTTGCGCCCTTTTCCCATAGTCTTCTTCCTCTTGATATAATAGTGGAGAAAGTACATTTCTATGTACCTTGGATTGGGCACGCTCGATCTGTCACTACCGTTCCTCTGTACATATTGTGTCACGCTCCATTAATACAAGCGTTTCCAGAGTTGTTAGAGACCTCCTTTGAAAAAACCTCGGCCCCTCCGCTCCGCTTCCCGGCGCTCCCAACTCTTCCCCTAGGTCCTGGGCCATAGCCCCGCCCCCATCCCGCCCCCTCCCAAAGGCTGGGCGGGTGCCTCGCACCCATTGGCCGCTGGGGTTGGCTGGTCCCGGCCCCGGCTGTTATTGCGGCTTGAGGGCGTCTGTCCCCGAGCGAGCGGCGGCGGAGGGGCGGGCAGCCGCGTAGGCAGCCGCAGGTGGGGCTGCTCGTTGCCAGGGACCTAGCCAGGGAGCCCCGGAGCCCCGCTCCCTGTGTGCCCAGGATGCCCCGCGGGGACGCGGAGCAGGTGCGCTATTGTGCGCGCTTCTCCTACCTCTGGCTCAAGTTCTCGCTCGTCATTTACTCTACAGTGTTCTGGGTGAGTGACCCTAGTAGGGTCTGGGATGGAGAGGGGGGCACACTCCCTCGACAGCCCCACGCCGAGTCCGGGGTTAGGTCCGCACTTGTCGGCTCCTGGGAGGGCAGGGGAGTGCACGCTTGGCTCCTCGTCCCACTCTCCCTGGGAACTGGGACAGTCTGGCGACCTAGCTCAGCCTGAATTTCAGCAGCCTGGTCGGGAGCTTTAGTTAGTTGGCTACGAAGAAGGAGCACCTCCTAGCTCACCTACGTGCACTTGACCAGCAGTTCGCTGAGCGTCCGCTGAGTTGGTGAGCTAGGCCTTGGTTCCCACGACGGCCGCGCCCACCTGGACTGCTGGGTATTACTGAGTTTACCTCTCTATCAGCCTATGGAGGAGACGTGGTCAGGCTTCGTGGCCCTGGACACCCGGTGCCGTCCGCACTATTTACTTGCTGATGCCCCTGAGCAAGATGTTTCCCCTTTGCTCTTGGTTTCCTATTGAGCGAAAGGAGGATGCATCACGAGTACGTGCCTGCCTCGTCCGAGCAGTGATTGGGAGGATTCCATCAGACGGCTGGGCATCTGGGGAGGTCTCCGGCTGCTCCTAGGTACTTAAGTGACTTTGTCCGCGCCCACTAGGCTTTACCTCCTCTTCTGTGCTGGGCAGGATGGCTGTAGCAAGACATGAACCAGCCTTCAAATTCTGCCTATACCACTTTCTAGCTGAGTGATCTTGGGGAAGTTACTTCAACTCTCTAGCCCGTAGTTACCTCATCTGCAAACGGAGACAGTAATTATATTCAACTTTTAGGATGGTTGTGGAGGTTAAATGAAGTAGGCCAAGAACAGTGCTTAGCACAGAGACCAGTGAAGAGCTCAAGAAGTATGAGCCTTTTTTATTATTGTGGGCAGAGGAACTGGGTCCTCCTGGTAAACTGTCCCAAGAGACTGGATTCCTTCATGGATATTTCAGACTAGGCTGACCCTCACCTAGAAAAAGGGATGCCGTTCTACAGTCCAATCTCAGTCCCGCCACTGTAGAATAGGCCCCTGCCCCTAGCACGCCGCAGGGCAGACTTTCCCAGGAAGGGGAAAAGGAGTGACCGACACCCATTCCCTCTAAACCCCCACACACTCCTGGTCTCCTCCTCAGCCCTTTGTTGGGTCTATTCTATTAGCAGGAAATTCTAGATCTGCTCTCAGGCCTGGCTTTTCCTGTGACCCCTCTGCGGTTGTGACCTTGCCTACTGGTCAAGAGATCCAGATTCCAGTCTCGGGCAAGTCACTTGCCTATCGAGTGCTGTTAAGTGGCTCACCCATCTAGAAAGCTAGACGAGCCCAGCTCCCAGTCCCGGTCTCGGACACTGCATAATGTGGAAGAGAGATGAGCAGTACGTTTGGGGGAAAAAAGGATGGAGCATAGACCTGTTGGTGGAAACTCCAGGGAGGCAGCGGGGTGAATGTGGGATTGGGGTGGGGGTGATTTGAGCTCTCATTTGGTGGTTGTCTCCCAATGTTGTATCAGAGTCCACTAGAGGGTTTTAAAAACACTACAGATGCCTGGGCATAGGTATTTATTTAACTTACTTAAGCTCTCCCGGTAATTCTAGTGGGTAGCCAAGATTGACAACCGTTGGGCTAGATAGCCTCATAGACCCCTCGATTCTGATTCTGGGATTCTTTGCCTGCTCCTTGCTTGTCTGGTCTGAGGAGCTCTCCTCTCAGGAGGTCAAAGTTGAAAGAGGGAAGGCTAAAATGATGGGTGGGGAGGTGGGAAAATAAGGGACGATTAGGAGTCGAGAGGTGGGGAGTATGTGTCCGGCCTCACCCCTTCTCTCCATATGTAATCACTGACCAGTCTTTTAACCTTCTTGTACCTCTATTTTCCCATCTGTAGAATGGATAACTAATACTGTGCTCCAAACCTCATTGGGCTGTTTTTAGGATAAGTGATATGGGGAAAGAGTGACCTGGGGGCAAACCAAGTGCTATATAAAAGAAAGTTATACCATTAAACTTAAGCTGAATTTTCAAGGCCTTGTTCTGTCATTTCTGCCACAGCCCAGAGAGAAGACCATCTTAATGCCCTTGCTTTGTTTTTACTCTTGGGATGGGGGAGGGGAGCTTCAGAACTTGGAATCCTCCCTCTCCAGCCAACTGAGCTTGCCTTACCAAGTCCTTGACTTCCCATTGCTGGAAGTATTTCTGCTGAAAATCTCCCCACCCATGCCAAATACTCAGTCACTCTGCCAGGGCAGCTCCAGGTGCCAGAGTTTGACTGCAGGGCGGAGGTCCAGTGTAAGTAATTTGTCCAAGACTGGGTTTGCTGCTAATTGGAAATCATTACAGGAAGGCCCATTAACTCTGGTGCTATCCCTCGGGAGGAGGAGCGGTGCCAACGGTTACTTACTTTATGAGTCCAAAGTGCTAACACTTTCATTTTAGTCTATACGTCTGGAAGGGGGCCATAAATTTTTACTATAACCATGCACCTTCTGTAAGACTTTTTGCTTTAAAACTTATCATCTAATAAAGATATTGTACAAAAATTTTTTCATTTATTTTTTATTATATTCTATTGATTATGCATTTACAGTTGTCCCAATTTCTCCCCCTTTGCCTCCCCTCCCCCCGGCACCACCCACTTTCTCAGGCAATCCCCGCATTGCTCTTGTCCATGGGTCATGCGTGTAAGTTCTTTGGCTACTCCATTTCCTATGCTGTACTTTATATCCCCATGGCTATTCTGTAACTACCTATTTTTACTTCTTAATCCACTCACCTCTTCACCCATCCGCCCACACCCCCCTCCCATCTGGCAACCATCAAAGTGCTCTCCATATCCATGATTCTGTCTCTGTTTTTCTTGTTTGCTTAATTTGTTTTTTAGATTCAATTGTTGATAATTTTGTATTTTTGCAATTTTTTGCAGTTGTTCATAATTTTGATCTTCTTTTCCTTAAATAAGACCCTTTAACATTTCATATAATAATGGTTTGGTGATGATGTACTCCTTTAGTTTTTTCTTGTCTGGGAAGCTCTTTATCTACCCTTTGATTATAAATGGTAGCTTTGTTGGGTAGAATAATCTTGGCTGTTGGTCCCCACTTTTCATAACTTTGACTATCTATTGCCAAACCCCTCTAGCCTGCAAAATTTCTTTTGAGAAATCAGTGACAGTTTTATGGGAACTTCCCTGTAGTTAATAACTGCTTTTCTCTTGCTGCTTTTAAGATTCCCTTTTTATCTTTAACCTTTAGACTTATAATTATGATTAGTCTTGGAGTGGACCTCTTTGCATCCACCTGGTTTGGGACTCTGTGCTTTCTGGACTTGTATGTCTATTTCCTTCACCAAATTAGGGAAGTTTTCTTTCATTATTTTTTCACATAGATTTCTAATTTCTTGCTCTTTCTCTTCTTCTGACACCCCTATGATGCAAATGTTGGAACTCTTGAAGTTGTCCCAGAGGCTGCTTACACTATCCTTGTTTTTTAAAAAATTTTTTTCTTGTTGTTCTGATTGGTTGTTTTTTGTTTCCTTATGTTCCAAATCATTTAATTTATTCTCAGTTTCATCCACCCTACTGTTGTTTCTCTGTAAATGGTTCTTTATTTAAATTAGTGAATCCTTTGTTTCTTCCTGGGCCTTTTTTATGCTGTTGAGGTCCTCACGAAGTTCTTTGAGCATCCTTATAACCAGTGTTTTGAACTCTTCATCTGATAGATTGCTTATCTCCTTTTTATTTAGTTCTTTTTCTTGAGTTTTGATCTGTTCTTTCATTTGGGCCATGTTTCTTTGTCTTCTCATTTTGGCAGCCTCCTTGTGTTTGTTTCTATGTATGAGGTAGAGCTGCAATAACTCTCTGTCTTGGTAGCATGGACAATGTAGTAGGTGTCCTGCAGGGTCCAGTGGCACTCCCCTATCACTCATGCTGGGTACTTGAGGTCTGCCCTTTGTGTGGGCTGAGTACATCTTCCTCTTGTAGTTGAGCTTTGATTGCTGTTGGTAGGTCAATGGGAGGGGTTTACCCAGACCAGTCATCTGCAAGGACTGGCTGTGACCACTGATGTGGTCTGTAGCTGTCCACTGGGTGCACAGGCTCTGGGGTTTCAGGCTCTGGGGTTTCCTGGGTGGAATAGGCCAAGGTCAGCCCCAACCTGTGTTTTGCCTGGGGCCACACTGCATGAGCTATAAAGCAATCTGAGATGGTTGCTTCTTGTGCTGGGCTTGGAGGTTCCCAGGTGAGGCCAAGCTGTGAATCTAGGCTGGCTGCTGTCAATGCCGGACCTGGGGCCATTTAGCAAGAGACATGGGGGCTGGGGTCTCAACGAGGCTGGCTGATGCTAGTTTGACAGGATTTAGGAAGTTGTGAAGCATGACCCAAGACCAGCCATCATATGGAAAAGTCATGGTTAACAGTTTGAGTGGGCCCATAGTTGGGTAAGACAGAGTTTCAGGGGATCTCGAGGGTGGGGCAGTGTTAGCCAGGTTGATGAAGTCTCAGAAATGGCACCCGCCTGCCGGATCTATGGCTCTGTGGGCCTCTGCCTGCCTTTCTGTCTGGGAGAAAGCTGTCCCCCGGCTCTTGCATTGATGCCAGACAATTAACTCCCTCCCTGTATTCCACTGGTACCTTTTAAGCTGCTACCCTGGTTCTGGAACTCAGGGGGAGTGAGTCTGAGTCAGTGAGTCTGTGTTGGTTCCTTTTTTTTCACTACAAGAGTAAACATTTATTTATTTATTTAAAGTTTATTTTATGGATTATGCTATTATAGTTGTCGCATTTTTTTCTTACCTTTATCCCCTTCTTCCCAGTATCCCCATTCCCTCCAGCATTCCCCTCCCCGCTTTAGTTCATGTCCATGGGTCATACATAAAAGTTCTTTGGCTTCTTCTAGTTCCTATACTATTCTTAACCTCCTCTGTCTATTTGTACCTACCAATTACGTTTCTTATTCCCTGTACTTTACCCCCATTTTCCCCCTTCCCTCTCCCTGCTGATCTCCCTCTATGTGA